TATCTATCTATCTATCTATCTATCTATCTATCTATCTATCTATCTATCTATCTATCTATCTTCCCAGCCCAGGTGAGAACTAGCGTCACGGGAAAAGGGACCTGGCTGACGCCTAAGCAAAGGTTATTATGGGTTATTTCCATGGGCGGGCCTTTAAGGGCTTCAGGCATATGGACGTCCCACGCTGAAGAAAGGTGACGCCTAGCAAAGAGTAAGAGGTAGGAAAGGAGCTCTCACACTGTTTAACATTAACATGCCACAAACATGATCACTCAATTACTGAAAATGTTGAACTCTCACTAAAAAATACCTCTGATTTTTATATATATTATTATTGATTATTAAGATTGATCATTTCTAATTATTCAGTTCATTGTTAGATTATTTTTACACAGTCTATAGAAAATAAGCTCTTTCATGTATTATTCCCTAAATGATCAACAATTGCCATCAAAAACTGATGGCGAGTTTGTGAACCTAGCATAAAGGGAGTCAAATGTATACATATTGAGTTTTAGAAATACTGTACAGCGTTTATAACATGTAAACTTGTAGAATGTAAACCTCCCCTAATTGAGAAAAGCCCTCGAATTCCCCATTGGAGCTCATACAAAGGACATGATCGTAATGTCCTCAATGTTATCTACAGTCTTGGTTAGCGTTATGAATCCTTTTTACATAGATAGACGATCTTTGTACTGGAGAAACAGCATCGGCCAATGAAACTACTCGGGGGCGTGGACTTCCGGCGGGCTCGTGCGGTCACAGTGCATAGTGGGCGTTCAAGCTGTCTTATTCTCTAGCTCATACATGACTTCACGATTAACGTTACACAAGTTGGGAAACTTCATATCTAGATATTTTCAGTTGCAAACGGCTAATAAAGATGACCGAAAGCTCTGCGAACAAGCTGCTAAACGGAGATTCCTGTCACCGGACCTCAAACGGTAAAAAATCGAGCAAAAATGGCTTCGTGAAGAACCACTGCCTGTTTCAACAGCCACAGAAGTATCATCGGCACAGGGAGAGGGTAAGGCCCAACCGCCAACTGTTCTACCGGGGAGGACCACAAACAAGCATTGTTGGGTTCGGTACTGTGGGTATTGGGATAGTTTGAATTAAGAAAATAACGTTAACTCATCTGTTGTTGGTTGTTTTCTCCATGTTTATATAGCGGCTTTATATACTTGTTTTGAAGTAAGTTGCGTTTGCAGGCATACGGAAAGTGAGCAGCAACATGATGGCAGCCTCACAAGTAAACTGTAAAATTAACTAATGGAGCTAATCAGTTTATCTTATTTAGTTTATATAACGGCCTAGCCTAGCATTATGTCCTAGCCTAGCAGTGTGTCCCAATGAGACACATTTCAAGCTAGCTGTTACCAATTGCCCCCGGGAATTTTGTAACATTTCTCTTATTTTTAAAAATATATCTAAAAACTGAATATTGTTAACATTGTGGGTTATTTTCTGGTTACAAATGTAGCTTTTAACCAGTAGTATGTGTAATGAAAGCGTTTCAAACTTCTTGTTACACGCTACCTCATCAGGAGGACTGTGGTGGGACTGTTTAGTAACCGTACACTCTGTTGTGTAGCCCGGTCTCTGTTTACACTGGTTCACACCGTGTGAATATTACCAGAGAGCTGTCTGTCTCGTCAGAGCAGGCCTGCTTCCACATGACACTTGAGCGGTAGAGGAATGTCTCCAGGCTATGAAGGGTGTGGCCCCGGAATGAAAACACAGTGTGTGGGTGTAGTGGTGGAGGTGGGGTACCCACACACATGGCACACACTTGTTTTTTCAGTTGTTTAGGTTCAACACAGAAGATAAATCTAAAAAGCACACAGACTGTGCAAGACATGCATCTCTCTCATGAGAGAACATCAAATTCCAGAGAAGGCTGCCTATGTCAGCATAAAGTGGATTTACACAATTAGGTCCAGATGCTTTGACTGTCAAACCAATCACATCCTTATGCATACAATAATCCATCTTGCCAAAAGTTAATCCAGAGCAGCAGGTCATATCACTACTGATAATGCTATCACATATTTGTGGGAAATTACCAGTTGAAACAAGAAAGTACTGAACTTACTTAAGTTAAGGCATTTGAGGCACTTGAAGGTTAGTAATGCTTAGGATTGCTATCAACCTTGAAAAGGTGACATCACATCATCCTGCTGTGACATGAGCTCTGCTAGTTCTTGATAAGGCAACTGAAATTGGAGTTAGATGCACATAGACCTATGTTTACAGGAGGAACCAGGGAGTGTCTCTTGTGTCAGCTGATCAAAGGGACTGGTCTCTGTCTGTTAGCTCATTTTGACAAGTATAGCGCTCAGACCATTTCACAGTATGGCTGAGTCTCAGTCACAGACCGGTAATAAATGTCTGCTGGAAAATAGATCTCTCCTTATCGAGCTAGCCATAATCCCCATATTGACAAAATAGGAAAATGGTCAGAAGCAGGATTTTTATGAGCTAGGGATAAATGATCTCACTCCTCTCCCTTATTTGAAAAAAACAGACACCATGTGTTATTGTCTGCAATACGATCAGATCACCATCTCTTGAATTGCAGAGCAATCTTATTTAAGAGCAGATTTCCACAGAGCTCGTTGGTTGGACGCTCTTCCGGGAGACAGTGTCTGTCCAGCGTTAAATAAACTGCACAGGTCTACCTGTTCTCAGTCCCTGTTTGTCCACGGGTATAAAAGATTAAGCAAATATGACGTCAATCAAGCTGTATTTAGCTGCTGTGGTTGGCAACAGACTCTTTGAACGATGTACCTGGATGTGAATGTGTTTCTGTGTTCACACACCATGGCTTCTGAGGTGCTGCTCTTTCAAGGATGCTTTTTTTAACTCTAGAGAAAGGGACCTGTTTGACTGGCTATACACACACACACAGTGCAGTGCTCTCCTAATCCCTGGCTCGGAGGTATTTCTTGGAGAAGCATGATGGTCACATGAGGTATGGTTGTTAAGCTGCGGGTTGGAACCTGTAATGAGTGTCTGCCCTCTTTTGTTTAATGTTGGTTTTGTAGACCGCCAGTCCACAGTCCAGCTCCAAATGATGCTAGTGTTTTTATAAGCTCCTCCAGTGTGTGGCCACATTTTATATGGTCCCATAGTCCTCGGTCAATATTGCTATTCATAAAAGTCGGTGAATTAGAACCCTGGGTTGATGGCCATGTCACTGCTCACTGGTCAATGAATTAATGCGCTTATTGTTGTCTTTATTAGGTTTCAAACTCTTTCCAAGAAAAGACAGATTTGAACAAATCAGCCCTGCTGTCTAGTGTGTGACCAGCTTCTTCTGGATTGCTGCGCTCTGCTTTCTATCACAATCTATTGGGCTGCCTCCTGGGGCAGATGTAATGTGTAACCAGACTTAAAGCGTGGATCAACCATTACCTTTTTAAAGGAGAAACCACCGGCTGGAATGTTTTTCCCCCCCAATGTGAAGTGGTGTGAGTTTAACATTGTTACTCCTTGATCTGTGCCTTGGCCTTAGATTTGGTAAACCAAACACCTTTTATTTTAAACCAAATTATTTTTTAAATTTCATTTTTATAACTAACTTTTAAAGACTTGTTATTCCAAATTATTTTTCTTTTTTGTCCCCCAGGACCAACATGTCACACACAACTCCAGCCTGTACGAGAAGCCCTTTGCGGAGTCATTTGAGGAGACTCCTCTACTGGTGGCCGTGCTCACCTACATGGGCTATGGCATCCTCACCATCTTCGGCTACCTCCGAGACTTCCTTCGCTACTGGAGCATCGAGAAGTGCCACGTGGCTCGGGAGAAAGAGGAGCAGAAGGTAAGGACGTTTAGTGAGACCAACCATTCCAAGTTTTTCCTGTTTTGTTTTGGAAGCACAAGTTGCAAGATAGAGCTTTGCTTTCTTTACAGCACTGTGTTAAAGGTTTCATATATAGATTTTCAGATATTTTTAATCCTAGAAAAGAACTGTGGTACAAATCACCTCTCACTACATCAGCTGTCAGTGTTGCAAGTCTTTCACTCTCTGTCACACCTATTCTATCTGGTGCAACAGTAATCATTGACTGTTGCCCTCGGCTGCTCCAGAACAAAGATATCTCCTTTGGAATACAAAGAACTGAAGAGACATGCTATTAGGAAACTCCCCACCCTTTTCCATGTCTCCATGCAGGATTTCGTCCCCCTCTATCAGGACTTTGAGAACTTTTACACCAGGAACTTGTACATGAGAATTCGAGACAACTGGACCAGACCCGTCTGTAGTGTCCCTGGTGCTAAGATGGACCTGGCGGAGTGTGTTTCTCACGACTACAATTGGACCTTTAAGTAAGTTGCTGCATTGTGGTTGGTTACGAGTATTTGTTGTTCTGTGTCTGTTGATTTACAATCAAGGCGTTTCCATGTTGGTCATTACTCCCTCAGAGGCGTGTTTCTGAGCCACTGGTCCTTTGCTCAACAGGAAGTTCCCTGATTTGCACTTAAAGTCACTGACCTCTTATTTCTGATAATAAACGTGACGTAAGCTATACTTCAGATAGTTCTGTTGAAAGCTCTAGTATCTGTCACATGACAGTGAGCTGAAGCCCTAAACACAGTCCTCTACAAATGACAGGTAGCATGATACAGTCTATCAATACAGCACAAAATGGAAATATGTGGCGTATAATTCATTACATTTTGTATTTCCTGTTGCGTCTTAAGTCACTGTTTTACAAGAAATGCTTCAGTTATGTGATGTTAGAAAAAATATAGTAATATATGCAAACTGCTTTGATAACAGCAAAGAGTGTGTCATATTTTCCTTTTTCTCTCATTGGTATGTACAGAATAAGAAGAACTATGCTAGCTGAATACCCTCGAAACAATACACTACTGTAACTGCCAGTTATCATGCACTGTGATAATACAGAATAACATTGATCGGGAAATTGTTGCCAGGCAACCAGGGCAGGCAGGCACACATGTTGAAGATACTTATTTGTATTTAGCTAGTCTGCTACCATATCTGTGTCTCTCTCAGGCAGACGGGCAGAGTGGTGAAGGACGTCATCAACATGGGCTCATACAACTATCTGGGCTTTGCTGAGAATACCGGGGCTTGTGCCGATGCTGCGATTGAGACCACAGAAAAGTATGGCGTTGGAGTGGCAAGCTCTCGCTGTGAGATGGGTGAGGATAATGATTTATCATCGTCTAAGAGTGCTTTCATCATAAAATTGAGTGAATTCAAGATCAAATGGACCTCAGCTGGTGAACAGCTGTTCCCTCTTTTGTCCGTTGCTCTTTCGGCGTATAACAGAGGCAGCAGGCTTCAATGGTTTTGAAGGAAAGGTTGAGTTTGAAATATAGTGAAGCATTGTGAAAGTTCAGTTCAGCACATAGTTTGCTGCCTTCTTTTGAGTCGCGTGATAAATGTTATTGTCTTAAGCAAAGGTTCCGTGGTGTACTCAGCTTTGTTTACATACTAGCTTGCAGTATTTCTTTCCTTACCTTAACTGGTACATTGCACCACACCTTGGCCTGCTGAGTAGAATAGTGTGACACCACATGTAGGACTGTGTATGGTAATGCGTGTCCTTGTGCACGAGATAAACAAAGCAGGAACCGTCTCATAGAGAAACGGCTCAGCTACTAGAGGGGAAAAAAAGTGGACTGGCATCACTGTTTGTTTAACAGGTATAAGAAAACAAGGGCCACTTAATCATTTGTCCCTTACTGCAACTATGCAAGTGAAGTTGTAGTTAAACTGAGATGATGTCGTTTCTAGGGAATCTGGACATCCACGAGGAGCTGGAGCAGTTGGCTGCCAGGTTCCTGGGTGTTGAGTCATCCCTGACTTTTGGAATGGGCTTTGCAACCAACTCCATGAACATTCCTGCTCTCACCGGGAAGGTATGGAATTTCATTCACTTCCTTTTATTTTCTTTTGATGTCCCCAGAACATCCTGTTCCTCTTGAGTTGATTACTTTTTAATGTAGTTTTCTGTGTCTGTTTAGTCACATTGTGCCCTGTATCCATACTGTAATTGTATGCAAGTGCCATTAACAGTTTTACTGTTATGGAAAAACACTGTTTCCTGTGTAATGTGAAAACAAGCTACATTTCCAGATGTACGGCCAAGTTAAAGAGTTCAGATTGTTCCACAACACACCAGCGTCCGGCCAAAGCTTTCAAAACATCTTGAGTGCAGGGGTTGGAGATTGGCATTGGACACTTCCCAGCCCCTGTTGTTCTCACTCCAACAAATCACACATGCCAGTCTTTACTTGCGTCCTTACTTGCCCTCTTCTTCCTGAGTCAATTTCGCTTCAACAGGAAGTAGATATCTGAGCTGACAGGCGTGTACCTCGTGAGTCAAAGGACACATTTCCTGACAAACACATGAGTAAAAACAAACCGGACAGTGAGAGAGAAGCTTACAGTAAGTATCTGAGTCACTACTAGGGATGGTTATTGTTAGGATTTTATCCATACTGCTACTCTTATTGATACTCCTTATGGGTTTGGTTCTTTATTGACAATCTTATATATTTTAAATATAACAAAATGTTGTGCGAGCAGCAAGAATGGTCACTATAAAGCATGGCCCAATCCCAATCTCCCCCCTCACGGACTCGAGGACTTTGAGGCGCGGTCCCGTAATGTCCGTGAGGGTTCAGGGCTGTCCCACTGTCAAATCATCGAGTGTTTGAGTCTCTCGCAGACATTTTGAGCCCTTTATGAACCCTTTCCGTAAGTATGCTGACTTAGCCTAGGGGAATTACCCACAAATCATTGCAATGTGACGTTAAACACGGGGTAACCAGTGGACGCATGGGGACGTAAAAAAAAGTAAATAAAGAGGACGGCTCATGTGTGTTCAGCCTGGAATATTACATGTACACAGAAACATTAAGGGTTAAAGATGGAACAAATAAATAAACTTGAAATCAGAAGATATTTATTTATTTATTTATTCATCAAATATTTTGATTTTGTCAGCCGTTTTAACAAAAACTAGTAAATATATTATCTGAAGTTACCTCTCATCTTGTGAGGAAAGAGCCAGGAAGACGTTCAAATCAGGGAGTACAAAGTATAAAATAAATACACACAATTATACATCATATCTTTTGTCGTTTTCATGGTAACGTGATAAAGTGCTGTCCCATTCCTATTTACACCATCTCAAGCCCTCACAGTCTCTCACACTCAACCACCTATCAGGTGAGGGTGGGTGGGGGTGTCCAACCAAACATTAAAAAGTATTGATAACCAACAACATTGGAGCTTATCAATACTCCGGTCTTTAATAGATTAGCGCCATTTCAAACCGACTCTTACTGCACTTGTGACCAGGATTCCTGAATACTTCACTCCCTCACTGATACCTCCCATCCTTGTGTCCTGGTCTAGTTCTGTGTTGTGTAACAAGCCCATTTATTCATTGACCAGAGGAAAGGATGTGACCTGTCAGATTGTTGCGGTGTGTTGACTTTAGGACACGGATAAGGTGTCAGCTGTATTTATGACATAATGAACAAAATATTTTATGATCAGTTAGATCCTCGTGTTCCAAGATGGCCGCCAGACCAGTCCTGTGTTTGTGTGTCTGCATGTGAGCTCGGAATTTATGTTTTATTTATGTTTTATTTTGCCTGCTGATCTGGCTGTTCTAACATCTAAAGTGTCTTTAGCTTGTACTGGACTGAGAGCATAGTGCCTATTTATTGGTTTCTTACAAAATCTATAAATTACAGCCTAGCCTCCTTTGCTAGACGTAGCCTGGGCCTGTTTAACCTGTTTCAGCCTAGCTTCCTCTGCTAGCTGTAGCCTGGGATTCTTCAACCTGGTACAGCCTGTCCTCCTGCTAGCTGTAGCCTGGCCCTCTTCAACCTGCTACAGCCTGGGCTTCTTCAATCTGGTACAGCCTGTCCTCCTCTGCCAGCTGTAGCCTGGCCCTCTTCAACCTGCTACAGCTTGGGCCAATTCAACCTGCTACAGCTTGGGCCAATTCAACCTGCTACAGCCCGGCCCTCTTCAACCTGCTACAGCCCGGCCCTCTTCAACCTGCTACAGCCCGGCCCTCTTCAACCTGCCACAGCCCGGCCCTCTTCAACCTGCCACAGCCTGGCCCTCTTCAACCTGCCACAGCCTGGCCCTCTTCAACCTGCTACAGCCTGGCCCTCTTCAACCTGCCACAGCTTGGCTTCCTCTGCTAGCTATAGCCTGGCCTTCTTCAACCTGCTACAGCCTGACCTATTGGTTATTGGTTTGGACATGTTTCATCCACTAAAACCTTCCTGGCCTTTTTGGCTCACAATTATTTTTATTCTCTGGATCACATCAGCTCATACAACCTGCCTTTCTAGCAGGTACACACAGGAGACTGCCATCCTTTCTAACGGTATTGGTACATTGGGCTTCAGTTTGTCAACCAGGGACATTTCTTCCTTCTGGTTTACAAAGACTTTTGGACTTCCTACTTGGTTTGTAACAAAGCTTATTCCTTTGTACTCTTACATGTTATTGCAGCAGTTCCACGACTCCTGTTTAATTTCGACCAAACCGTCATTGAAAGATAAACATATGCAACATTTTAGCACTGTCCTCAGACGTGTGTTAATCATTCTCATGTCTCATGTTCATCTCTCGAAATGTTCACCCAAACCCAGGGCCCGCTATCCATGTTCCCACTGTCTCCAATCTGTCATTTAATGATTTTTGTGATCGTAAATCATTGGGCTTTTTACATGTCAATATCTGTAGTTTGTTGCCAAAACATGACTATTTAAAATCTTGGGTGCACACTGCAAACCCTGATGTTCTGGCTGTCTCTGAATCATGGCTTAAGAAAGGTGTCTCGGATCTAGAAATTCGAATACCGGGTTACGTCTTTCGTCAGGATAGATCCACCAAGGGTGGCGGCGTGGCTATATTTGTAAAAGACCATTTGCAATGTTCTGTTACGCTGTCTAAATCAGTCCCGAAGCAATTTGAACTGTTACTGTTAAAACTTAAACTGTCAACAAACTTCACTCTGTCTGTTGTTGTTTGCTATAGACCACCCTCTGCTCCAGCATGCACATTAAGAGCTCTCGGTGAACTGCTGGCCCCTCACCTTTCCTCTGAGTTTGTCCTTTTGGGTGACCTAAACTGGAATATGATCAACCCCCCTGATTTGGTTACACAGCAATTTGATGCTTTAAACCTCTTTCAAATTGTATCTGAGCCAACCAGATATAATTTGAAATCACCGTCATCTGCCACACTGATTGATAGTATTCTCACTAACACTCCATCAAATTACCGATCTGGAGTCTTCAGTCAAGACTTGAGTGACCACTGTGCTATTGCATGCGTTGGCTCCGGCCTCTCTGTCAAACGTCCGCCGGTGATTGTGACCAAGCGCTCACTGAAAAACTTTGCCAATCAGGCCGTCCTGCAAGATGTTGCAGCTGCGTCCTGGGAAAGAATCAATCTTATTCCCTCAGTGGAGGATGCCTGGTCTTATTTCAAAAACACCTTTAGCCTAATCATTGAGAAACACGCCCCATTGAAACGATTCCGGACGAAGAATCGCTACAGCCCCTGGTTTGGTCACGGTTTGGCGGCTTTGATCCGCCTAAAAAACACCTTATGGCGGAGGGCGAGGTCTTCTCAGTCTGCTGCCGACTGGCTGGCCTTCAGACAATGCAGGAACAAAACAACACAGGCGATCAGGAAAGCTAAAATCAGTCATTTCAAGGAAGAATTCTCAGCCAGTGGCTCTGACGGCAATAAACTTTGGAAAACAGTTAAATCCATGGAAAACAAACTTGCTTCTCCGTATCTAACCACTTCTATGATTTTTGATGACATTGTTGTTACTGATAAACAACGCATGGCCACACACTTCAACCAACATTTCGTGAAATCGTCTAATTTCTTTGATGCAGTTGCCCCTGAAATAGATTCATCTAACACGCCTACTTCATCACCCAGCGTTACCAGCTTCTCCCTTCAACCTGTTAAGGTTCCGGAAGTCCTGGATGAACTTATTAAGTTAGATTCAAACAAGTCAGCTGGTTCTGATGGGATTGACCCTGTGTTTTTAAAATCAGCCACTCATATTATTGCTTCCCCTATTACAAGCCTGTTTAACCTATCATTTAATTTGTCTGTTTTCCCCCTTGACTGGAAATTGGCTACGATTCTTCCCCTCTTTAAAGGAGGCTCTGGCTCTGACCCGAACTGCTACAGGCCGATTTCCATTTTGCCCTGTCTGGCCAAAGTCATAGAGAAACTGGTACATAAACAACTAATTCACTTCATTGACTCAAATCATATTTTGTCTGACCTGCAGTCTGGGTTTAGGAAAGGCCACGGATGTACCACCGCTACACTGAAGGTCCTTGATGACGTCATCACCGCCATAGACGACAAACAGACTTGTGTAGCTGCCTTCATAGATCTAGCCAAGGCTTTTGACTCGGGTCAACCATTACATTCTCCTGCAAAGGCTTACCAGCATTGGCTTGTCCAGTAGTTGTTGCAACTGGTTTGCTAGCTACTTGGCTGGTCGTGTCCAGCGGGTGAAGACTGAAAACATGTCTGAACCGCTTACCATCTCTAAAGGTGTCCCTCAAGGCTCCATCTTAGGCCCTATTTTGTTTTCCATTTATATTAACGATGTAGCAAAAGCTGCTGGAAATTCCTTCATTCATTTGTATGCTGATGACACCATCATATATTCAGCTGGTCCCTCACTCTACTCTGCTGTGTCCACTCTTCAACAAAGCCTCACCTCCATCCAACAGTCTCTCCACAGTCTCCACCTGCTCCTCAACCCCAAAAAGACCAAATGTATGCTGTTTGACCGGAAAAACCTCATCATTCCTAGCCCTCCCAAGGTCTACAGTGCTGATGGCTCGGAGCTGGAGTTTGTCAGCTCCTACAAATACCTTGGATTCTGGTTGGACTCGTCTCTCTCATTTAACATACACATCAATAACCTTCTGGCTAAAGTCAAAGCTAGACTGGGTTTCCTGTATCGAAACAAGCCCTCCTTCACACACTCTGCCAAATTCACCCTTGTGAAAATGACCATCCTTCCTCTATTTGATTACAGCGATATAATTTATAAAATGGCATCAAAGACCACCCTCAGAAAACTGGACACACTCCACCACTCGGCAATCCGTTTTTCCACATGTGCACCCTTCACCACCCACCACTGTGCTCTTTACAGATTGGTGGATTGGCCCTCCCTTCATACCAGGCGGCTACAACACTGGCTGCTTGTGGTCTATAAATCCATTTTGGGAATGACTCCTCATTACCTCTCAAATCTTCTGTGCATTTCTGACAGCAATTGGCATTTAAGATCCAGTGACTTCATTAGGCTCATCATTCCAAAAGTCCGTACTGTGTTTGGTCATAACTCCTTTAATTTTGAAGCTGCAATGGACTGGAACTCATTACAAAACACACTCAAACTAACAGCTCTCACCTCTCTCAACATGTTCAAACATAAGCTGCAACAAGTTATAGTTGACTGCTGTACTTGCTGACCAGCCCTCACTTCTCTTTCTTTCTTCCATTTTTTTACTAATAACATCCAGTAATCTGCATTTTATTTTGTACATAGTGTTTGTTATACTGTATTGTATCTGTGTTGTTTGTGTAACTTGTGTGGACTGTCCTACTGCCTCTTGGCCAGGTCATCATTGAAAATGAGAATTGGTTCTCAATTGATTTTTCTCAATTGAAATCGTAACATAAGTCTTCATTCATTGTTGGTAAAAGTCTGTACATACTTTTTGGGTTATGGGTCCATTTTATTTTGAAATGGGATCATCATTTAGAATGATCAAAAAGAATGATTAAGTAATATTTGCCAAACAAAAGAGAACCGCATATTACTTTGTCCTACTTTTCCGAGGGCAGAAACCATACAGGGACCCTCTTATGTTAGTACATCTATTCATGGCAACAGGTATACTTCATCACAGAGTAGTAAAGGTTACTGTGAACAGCGTGGCCCCAACAAGCCCTGATCATTGGTCCCACTGCGGCTGTGTTCCACAGACCTCAGGTCTGGACTAGAAAGACATTGCTCAACACTGAACCCTCTCAGCATGTGAAACCCTCGGGTACTACAATTATGCAAGCAAAGCTTAAAAGACGGTTGAACTTGAATATTTCTCACTGAATAATGTTTGGCTTTTCTGCTGTCATTTTGTATAACCTTAGATCATCGGAAGTAGTTTTAAAAGAGTGTCTTTTCTTCTTGTTCTCAGGGTTGTCTTATTCTGAGTGACGAGCTGAATCATGCCTCTCTGGTGCTGGGTGCCCGCTTGTCTGGCTCCACAATTCGGGTCTTCAAACACAACAGTGGGTAACCTCTAATAATGAGCTCATTACTCAAGAGCAGTTAGATAGAATGGTGAATTAGAGTACACCCAGTGTCTACAGTAACACAGCACACAGGATTAAAGTGGCAACAGTGTCTCTTTCAACACTATGAGACAGGATTTAGCTCTAATCTGCTGTACCGAACAGGAGAGCAAATACATTTAACATGGGTGTGAGTTCCAGCAAGTTACTTCACTCCTGTTCTCGTCCTGTATTCCTACAGTTCTACATTAACTTAACTACCACTTTGTGCTGTGATGTACTATATTGAATCGCACATTGGTAGGTATGGTGTGATTTAAATGTATTTAAATACTTTTGTGGTGGGGGTGTCAGGACACACAGTCACCAGAGATCCTGACTTACTGTTATCCAAGCTCACCCTCAACAACAGGAAACGGGTTGACTGCTAAGCAAACGCCGTCAATGCTTCGAAGGGCTGCTGTCATAAAGTATTGACACTCCATTAATTCAAACAAGCTCTCATATTACTTTAGGGGAATAAAATACATCCTTATTTTCTTTGTACTGTAGACATGCAGAGCCTGGAGAAGTTGCTGAGAGATGCTATCGCTCACGGGCAGCCGAGAACCCACCGACCCTGGAAGAAAATTCTCATTGTGGTGGAGGGCATATACAGGTATACACACACACTTTCTCTCACACACACGCACGGTGCACTTCTACACACATGCTTGCTTGGACTAGAAGATGAAGTTAACTTAGCTAAGTGTTATTTCTGCTTTAATTGTTATTTGCTTGACTGGGAGTGCATTTGTCAACTTATTTGTGAGCACTTGTAAGCATGAAAACACTTTAACACAAAAAGTAATGAGTAGTATTTCGCGTTATCCTTCCGTGACTTTGCCATTGGTGTGTTTGATGTGATACCAGTAGTGGGAGTGTTGCGTGTTTCAGACCGGCTGAGTAAGTCCATAGCTTTACAGTGTGACACCATAATGTCTGAAAGGCTCTTTAAGATGTCCCCATCTGAAGATCAGTGAAGTCGTACTCCAGCTTACAATTCAATGTAGGAACATTCTCTGCATTTATTTCACTGCTGAATGTACAAAACATACACAACAAAGACATTCGCAATGGGACAAAGTGTGAATGTGTGAATTTATATTTCAGACACGGTTTTTAGCCATGATGGCAGCACTCCCTTATATCACTTTGTTTAAATATAGATAATAATGGCTATTTAGAAGTGTGCCCACTCTCCTTTAAGCATAACATGTTCCTTGTTCTTTGCAGTGTACTTACCATAAATGCAATCAATCCTGTTGATCAATAGAGTTCTCAGAGAAACATACTCAATGCACTGTACTAATGCAAAGTTAATGAAGTTTCATTTCCACTGGGATGTCCAAAGCAAAAGCTTCAACACCTGCACATATGCAACTAAAGGGAAGTGAAGCAGTTGTCTACAGGATCATGTGTTCACACGCTCGCTCAATGACACAGCAGCTTTCTGGATTAGATTGTGTATTCTCCATCCAGGAGCTTTGGGCAGAATATTGATTCAAATGCACTGTTTGTGTATTAGTTCTAAGTGTGTCAGCACTCTAGATGAGTTGTAGGATCACTCTGAAATGTGTTAATTAGTTTCATTATTTCCTTGAAGTATGGAGGGGTCCATCGTGCGTCTACCAGAGGTGGTTGCTCTGAAGAAGCGCTACAAGGCGTATCTGTACCTGGATGAGGCCCACAGTATCGGGGCTCTGGGGCCTAACGGCAGAGGAGTGGTGGACTACTTCGGCCTGGATCCCAAAGATGTCGACATCATGATGGGAACATTTACCAAGAGCTTCGGTGCTGCTGGAGGATACATTGGAGGCAAAAAGGTTGGTGATCTCTTGCACAGATAAAAGTAAGGCTGTGAGGTCAGACAGTGGAATATAAAGCCTACTGACTACTGTAGCTGGAACACTTACTCATCCTCTTTAGGGACCGTAGCAATTTCACAACTTCTGAGGCCCAGCATGCGTGTCATTCAGTTTTGGTATTACTGTTTACCAGTAATGGGAAATGTAGCTTTCCGTTCTACTGAAAAGGAATTAATTCAGTGTAAGCTTTCATTTTCAGTGAAAGTAGAGCTGCAAACAATGCTGCTTCAGTTGGCCGAGGTGAAGAAACATGCAAATACAGAGCCAGCGTACGCATAAAGATACACAATGGACTTTAAATCGGAACACTCATCTTTTACAGTGTGAAATACTCTATATAGTCATCATGCCCAAAAGGCCCATATGATGCTGCATTCATTTAAATATTCTTTCATTAACCCTCAATATTTCTATTCTAAAGCTGCTTATGTAATCAATTACATTATTTCCTGCATCAGAATGTAATAATGATAGTATTTTGTCAATGATTCTGTCTTGAACTGCATTAAAAACATAGTCTCACCATCAGTATTCATTAGCCTTGGTAACAAACTTTGCATTGCTTGGATTTCATTGTGTGAACTATAGTCTAAAGCTATTGTATTGTAATATTGCTGTCAGTGCTGCTACGTTGGAGCAACTGTCTCTCTTTACAATTTGTTCCTGTATCTTGTAACGGTCTTCTGTGTTGGCGCACTAACCAAATCAAATGTATTGCGTTCCCATTGTTATTGTTAAATAAAAGTGACTTAAATGTCATTTCTCTGTCAGGAGCTGATCGACTACCTGCGGTGCTACTCCCACAGCTCCCTGTACGCTACCTCCATTTCCCCTCCTGTGGCCCAGCAGATAATCACCTCTATGAAGATCATCATGGGAGTGGGCGGGACCACACTGGGTAGGTGCCAGAAAATGATACTAATCAAAAGGGCTTCTCTGTATTGGCAGCAGCATTGTGTAATGAAAAGAGAGTGCACTAAAGCTGTGTGCAGCTTAATCACTATCCGGTCTCAAAGATAGAGGGGCATCCTCTTTTACATTGGGTACATTACAGAAGATATGCAGAAGCCTTTGGGTGGGAAAGACACAGAGCTAGTAGGAATGTAAATTAGATATTTACATTACATTACAGTCATTTAGCAGATGCTTTTATCCAAAGCAACTTACAATTCAGATCCTCTCACACCGTAGGCACAGCTACGGGAGCAATTTGGGGTTAAGTGTCTTGCTCAAGGACACATCGACATGCGCCTAGCGGAGCCGGGGATCGAACCGCGACCCTCTGATTGAAGGACGGCCCTGCTCTCCACTCTCCACACCGTCGCCCAAATATTTGCCTTAGCTCAGCATGCCAAAATGAAGCTAGCACCTTTTTTGCCTAGTTTTTTTCTTGCGGTTGCAGCAATTCTGAAATGTCCAAGATTTCTGAACCACTCTTGTTTGGTCAGTCTGATTTGACATTTCAATTGCACAGTTCCATCAATGACCACATGATGTCAGTATGAGCTTAAGTTTCAGACTAAATTCATTCCTGCAAACCAAACAAACAAAGCTGAGGGTAGTTACTACAGCATTCAACTGGCATCAGCTTTGCCAGCTTTCGTATTCACTGCTTCATACTCTGTGTGCTTGTTCATCTTAGAACTGTTTCATTCCCAGCCAGGAGATAAAGGTGTGTGTGTGTGTGTGTGTGTGTGTGTGTGTGTGTGTGTGTGTGTG